ACTGCATCAAAAGCTTAAATATTTGGTAAGTTTAAATAATTTTGTAGTATATTAGTATAATAATATTCTTTTCGATTTTGACGCATGTTTTTTTTTTTAATTTTATATTAATTTCATATTTATTTAATTCGTTTACACATAAAGGATAACAACAGACATGTTCTAATACTGGAATAAATTTTAGTTTTCTTTGTTGCATATAATCTTCTGGCACAGAGAAATAAGGAGGTGTGTAACATCTTTTAAACATATATGAACCACCGTATCCACAAAGGCAGCAACGATCCATATTATTTAAATATTCAACCAATGTATTTGGTAGTAAACCTTCAATGTCGTATATGATTCTACAAAAATATTATTTAGTTCATATTAATATAAATTATATATAATATATATAATTTATATAATATATAATATATATAAATTTATATATATATATATATATATATATATATATATATATATATATATAATATATATAATACACACACACACACACACACACACACACACACACACACACACACACACACACACACATATTTAGTGCACCAATTTTCTATCTAAGTTTGGAAACAATATTAATTGAGAAATTTAATCAATCGATGTCAAATGTTAAATGATATCGAGCCATGTGAGCATGGAAATAGAATATTTCTATTAATCTTCGATTTGTCCTGAACGATGCCGAACTGCAAGATCAAATATGTAATACTATTTCCGTGGAGTAGCTCGGAATTGAATACTCGAATGTGATATCAAAGAAAAGTGCTTGATTTCCGATGCGCGCTGCACATGAGAGATTCGGATGAACGGATGATACCGATGAGTAAACGGAATCCTTGCGCAAGATACATCCCAATTATAAACACAAATCACCATTTCGAAGTTAGGCATCAGGTCAGTCCCGTTCGACAAACAGCAACATCCCGTTCGATCTCCACGCTCATTAGCAGCGACCGTTGTGCAACAGCAAACCCGTAACCCTCCGCGTCATCCCCTGTATCTATCTATCTATCTATCTATCTATCTATCTCTCCGCCTCTCTGTACGACGATCGATTGGCAAAGCATGTATACATCGTGTCGGCAACTTCCTCCTAGAGGAAGAGCGTTGCTCTGTCGAACCGTGGTCGGCGTCTCGACATCGGACGACGCCCGAGACTTGCAACGCAAACTCGCAACAAGTTGCATTTAAAATCCGCATCCACTGTCCGTAGGAGTAGTTGCGCGGCAGTTTCGTCTCTTTTCTTCCCTCTTCCCATTCTCCTGCGCTCGCCTAGCACATGGCCTCGTTCTATTCCTCCCCCGCCCTTTCCAGGAACCCCCGTCAAATCGCCGAGTATTCTCGACTGATTCGAGCTATTCAGACAAGAGCTCGCTCGAGATTTCCCGTCCGCTCGGCCCTAGGATTATTCCTGAAATTCGTTATGAATTCATTCGGGAGTCCGGCTCGAGCTGCATTTCGTATCGCCGTGTCGGTCTTCTGGTTGTCTTGACAGCTGGCAATTATTAATGAGATTAATTCGGAAAGCGGATAGACGGAAAGGAACGCGGGATCGGTCGGTCGTCTCTATTTTTCGACCGTCTCGGCACCGTCTGGCTTATTCATGCGTCTCAATAATTTTTATGCGCCCTCATTAATTTGATTTCTTTCGCTTTCCCTCTTTAAGGCAGCTGTCGCTGAGAAGCGCGCCGCTTTCCTCGCAAACACGAATTAAAAGCCGTTGCACTTTGACTTACGACTCCTCGCGATGGGGAAATCCAGTTAAACAGCGGGCCACGTGGAATTACTGGAATTTCTCGACCGAAAGCTTCGAAGATGAAGAGCACTCGACCCGCTACGGAGCGAGCGCTTTTAGCACCTTACGAGTAAAGTAAAGAGAGAGACACGGTAGAAAGAGAAAAGCGGATCTTCAATCCTGAAAAATTTCCAACTCGCGGCGCAAAAAAAAAATGTCGCGTGAGATCAGTTTCCACAAGAATGCGCCAGGAAGGCGCAAGGGGGTGATGTCAATCCGGGAGGATATCGGGGTGGATTTTCTCAGATGTTTTCGTTTGACAACCGAAATATTCGGAATAATCTCTCGAATAAAGAGGGTATACCATCGCGACGTGTAAGCGAAGTCACCAGTAAATGTATGCGGAATAAGGGGGTTGCCGTTAACCGCGTGCACGCTTCTTCCGCAAGTTGGACGCACAATGAAAACACAATAACCCACGGCAGTCATTAAATTTAATTGACAGTGGAATAACGAAGAACCAGGTCGCTAATTAAGATCGGCGCGATGAGCGTCCTCGGGCGTGCCTGACGAGTCCGCCTCTTTTATTTCTCTTTTCTCTTTCGCTATCAATTTTGCGATTGTCTCTAACGCCATGCGCAATTGTTTTTCACTTGAACAGACCGTGCCGCGAATGCGCCTCTGAACTAACTATCCGTTGATGATGATTAAATTCAAATAGGGTATAGTTAGTAGTTTCGTATAAATGGGACAACTCGGTGATTATCCAAATAAGCTTCATTATCCATGAAAATTGGATTAAATAGTCATATTCATGAGATTAGAAAATAATGAGTGTTTAATTAATAACTGTCAGAAAATTAAAAACGATCATTAACTTTTTATTACGTAATTATCCCGCTGATGCATTTATTGAAAATGCTCGATTAAATTCTCGATAGAGTTTACTGTATCTACACTATGAATAACGTTTTTGTTTTTTTCTCCTATTATTATTATGTGACATTTCTGTGACGCCAGGAACAAGAAGATCGTTGGCAAGAACGCCGTCAACCGTTGAAGAAATTAGGTGAAAATTACAAATCGTGGACCAGAGGGTGCGTGAACGCCGTCGAGCGATGGATTTTGTGTTGCTGTTCCTCGTGATGTTGCTGAGGCAAGAGGGTGAGTGCTTTTACTTACGCGAGCTTACTGCGCTTTCGAGCGCATGAACGCATCCCACAAATGCATACTGTCCTTCGTTATATCCGCTTTAAAGGATAAACATCATTCCTACCCTTCTCAAACACATACACACATACACACACACACACACACACACACACACATACACATGCTCTCTCTCTCTC